GCGATGCCAAGGTGCTTAACTTTATATGCGAGCAGAAAGTACCTTACCCAGCAGTACTGAGTCGCCAAGTTTTAATTCTTCGGAAATAGTCGAAGAAGACTTGTTACTGCACATCAATCAGCGCGCACCTGAAGCTTGAAGAGGCACAGGCTTCATAGGCGGACAGGAAGTGGATAGAAAAATGTGTATTAGGATATGGTAATAAACAGAATTACAAAATTAAAGCTGAACAATAGACCTAGACGGGCAACAAGTGAGGCTCGTCGTCCAGGAAGTGAGGCTTACCGTCGATATTCAAATTCTCGTCCAACGAGTGGGCTCACCGTCGATGGTCAAATTCTGGTCTAACGAGTGAGTGACGAGAACGACAAGCCCCGAGGAAACCCGGCTAAGCGTATGACTACCACAGCTACCTTCTATGCCAGAAGATAAATGGATTTACTAAGATTCAGTCGACTAGTAGTAGCCGAGGAGTTCTGGGGTCTAGACGTCTAGGGGTGACTGAGTAACATCAGCTACTAGCACGTACCTTGTTATCGGAGTCGAAGTACTTGAAGCAATATGTTCACTTCTGATTAGCTTATTGTTTGCAACCATCACGGAGCAGTAAGATAGGAGAGAGAATTTCTACATCAAATTTCTATATCAACGAACAAAGGAAACTGTCAAGACGCGGTTCTATGAGCGGTAAGATAAGCCACTCAACTCACACCGAGTTATTTTTGAAACTCCGTCATGGCACGCAAAGGAAGTACAGAAGTCGACGCAAAGAAATTCCATACGAGGTTTCCTTTGTTTCCCTCTTCTGTGCAAGGAGAGAAAGCAGCCGTCGAGCCTGGATGGCTGTACGGGTGACCGTCTCATCTTCCTTATCCAGAATCTCGGAAGAGCCGATAATGATTTGGGGAGGGTGGTCAGTATGCTCCTTCGTCACGGTGGATGCTTTCACTTCTGTCAAACAGAAATCGTAAGCAAAGGACCGAGGACTAGTCGGATCTCGTTACAATGGAATTTGACGTAATTGGACTATGGGGTAAGAATCAACTCGGTCGGTAGAACTCGAGTCAGTTACGAATTGTCGTCTTCTTGGCCGGAAATGTATAGACGATGCATGACAGAGAGTACGAAGTATTCCCAGTAGTATCAGTTGCTGCAAATCCAATTAGTTGTGATATCCTGAGCAAGCGGCATTAGCTCGATATTCAAACGAGATGTAGTGGTGATGAACGCAGGCAAGGCGCTACTAGGAAGGAGGAGAAGGGACCAGGAATGTGCATCACTGCTGCCCTACTCGGTGTCAAGAATGATTAGGTGGAGGTAGCATGTTGAGACTCAGGTTAACGGAGATTCAGGTAGGGTTTTGCAGCTATGTCTCGATCCACTATTAGTGTGATTGTTCGAGTACATGGCAGCAGGCGCCGGGATGGAAGAAGGAACCACTATTGGCCCAGGCAACTCCCCTCTTGCTCCTGTTTTATCACCCTGACCAAGCCCTGGAATTTCATGTCCTCCTGCTGGTCAATGGCGCCCATCAATCGACGTTCTAATGAATAGCGCTTCGATTGGTTTAAGAGCGAATTGGTATTGTACGATTGAGTGAAAGATACAACTTACAATTTCGTGCACTTGCATATTGCCCTCCTACTTGACTTTCCATACGCTTTGAGGGCCGCAGGTACACGGTACATGGTGGCACCTGGGGTCTGAGCTCGCAATATGACCGCTAGATGGTGTTATAAAGCTGTCATATTACCTTGTACCACAAGGTCGGCTGGTCACCGGTCAATATCAGCTGCTCAGTGGCTGTACAATCCTACTTTTGACCCCGTGAGAATAACATAACTATTATGAACATAGCGCCAGCCGGACCCGGGTCTCGCCCTTGTTTTGCGTCCATCGAATATTTCATTTTTGCGTTGGCAAATGACTGCTAATCCTATGATTCTGCTGTCAATGCATGATATTCTTCGACTCGTACTAGAGACGTCCGTCTTGACCAGTCTTAGCCAAGTGCTAAGTGTGACAGGACAGAAATTTGTTGCAGGTTTGAAACCTGCGCACTCAACAATCTTTTTTCCCCTTTATCACGCCTTGAACATTCACGCATGGATAGATCCTTCAAGGTCTATCTTATGTAGTCATAGCCAACCGGCACCAGAACAGATAAGAAATCTTGGGTAATGGGGATTCAAAACCTGTCGACAAATGTCTTATCACACCTTGACATTCACTCGTGGGCAGTTCTTCGGAGGTTCATGTTCAACTTGGGAAGCATCCTGGCCGAAGTGAATCATTACCACAACAGAATCGAAATCTGTTTCCTTTGGACTGCGCAGGTTCGAAATCTGCCAACAACAAGTTTTTTGTTCTCTGGGAACATACGTACCCTGACATTCACTCATGTCGTCGGAGGTTCATCTAACTGGTCTTAACTAAGTGGTTACCGCAACAGAATCAAAATCTGTTTCTCTTGGACTGTGCTTGTTCGAAACTTGCCGATTGACAGGGTTTTTTCTACCAGAACATGCCTCGAAGATTCGCTCATGGATGGTTTCCTCGGAGCTCCATCTCAACTTTGTCCTGGCCATAGTAGTTACCACAACAGAATCTAAATCTGTCTCTTGGCCTGTGCCAGTGCAGGTTCGAAACTTGCCGATCGACAGGTTTTTTTTCTATCGGAACACGCCTTGAGGATTCACTCATATATTGTTTTCTTGGAGGCCCATCTTACTGGTGGTTTCCGCAATCGAATCAAAATCTATCAAACCTGCCGACGACAAGTTTTTTTTTCCTATCGGAACACACTTCGACACCCACTCATGGATGGTTTCGTCAGGTGTTCATCCTAACTGGTCCTAGCCAAGTGGCTACCGCAACAGAATCAAAATCTGTTTCTCTTCAAAGTGTGCAGGTTCGAAACCTGCCGAATCACAGGTTTTTTTTTATCGGAACACGCCTTGACATTCACTCATGGAGGGTTTCCTCAGAAGTCCATCTAACTGGTCTTCGCCAAGTGGTTACTACAACAGATTTAAAATCTGTGTCTCTTGGAGTTGGTTCGAAACCTCCTGACAACATTTTTGCGGTGTATAGATCTTCGGAGGTTCACCTTAACTAGGCCCAGTCATTAATGTGCCGAAGCCTCTATTTATATTCCGTCCATGAAAAGGAATTCACTTTCATGCCCCGCGATGGCTTCAGCTTCTCCTCGGAAAGTTTTCCAGTTATCATTCATAACTTACGGCCGGGCGTTCGAGAAGATGATTCAACGAGAACGCGATGCCGAGAACTTAAACACACCATTCATACGCTAAAAACTTGGCGGTGGCCTTTCATCTGACAAACCTCTCAAAGGAAAGGAATATCACGGTACTCAAGCATCTTCTGATTATTGGTAGATCCCTAAGCTGTGCTGTCTGAAAGTTATATCCATCTCAATCATTTGTCAGAACCTGTCTGTTGATATGTACTCATTCTCATCACAGATGTGGTATATTGAACATACTGTGAGCCGTTCGTAACATGATTGAGCGCGCGTTCTACTGTACGTGCTACACTGGTCTTCTCCAGATAATCAACTCGAATCCTCTACCACTATTCCAGATTTTATAACCAAACAATCTCTACTTCTTTTTCGAAGTCGTGTTTGCAACGAACCGTCAAAATCCTCTCCGTAACCTCCCTTTTCCAGTGGTTACGCACGGTATCCAGTCCAGGGCGAGAAAACCGCCTCAAGAGGAAACATATATAAATTTGTCCTGCTTTCAACTTCCCTTTCATAGCGTCATCATGGTCGTGGTAGTTAACGATCCCGATCGCCCACTCTGTCGTAGATGCAGGTGGAAAGAAAGGGGATTGAACAACCAGCTCTTCGAGCGGTGACTCGGATGTCATGAGGCTATCAGCGGGACGGGAAAGGAATACCGACTGCCAGAGACTCTGGTCAATGGAGGCGGGGACCATGAGTAGCTTGACCTGCACGCCACGCTTCGTGACTGAGAAGCCGTCATCACCGCTACCCTCTCCCCACCACGAGATCTCGTGGTTCTTGAGCATCTCGAGCGCTGCTTCGTCTGTTGTGTGATAACAGGAAGGCTCTGTTGGACGACCAGGGAGTCCGCCGGCCCACACAAGAATTTGCCATTCCTTGCACTTCTCAATAAGCTCTGCCATGAATCTTTTAAAAGCTCGATCTCCTTCTCCATATGCGACCGTCATGGTGATGTCAAAGATGCCGGTGAGAGAGTAGGCAACATCTTCAATACGGGTTGTCTTCCGACTCGCTGCCCAGCTCATCTTCTCCCAGGCACGATTTGGCCCGGAGCGAAAGTTGCGCAGGTCGTTTTCGGGGATATTGGTAGCGCGATAAAGAGCATGAACAACCTTGGCGTCGTCTTTGTCGTTGGAATTTTGTGTAAGGGGCGTCCATGTAGAACCGTAATAAAACCTCATCCTAAGGGGTGCAAGGAGCTCCTGTAACGTCCAGCCACGAAAGAACCACTCGTCATTTTCCAGCGTATCCCACGAATTTGTCTGAGCCAGGTGCACTATGCATATATAGGCTTCGCGGTACCACATGTACATCGACCGAATTGCTTCGTCGAGCTCTGAGCTGCTTTCTTTGTTAATGCAGCAGGTATCAGACCATGCGAGATCACAGCCATACTCCTTTGCTTTTGAGCAAAACTTCTCCAGCTTCTTGTAACCCGCTCCTTCGCATTTTAGGTCTTGGAATGTTGGCTCCGATTCTCCCCATCGGTGCGATAGAATGGCATATTTGAGCAGGTCGATCACAGCCGACTCTATGGCAGACTGCCTCGACCACCCCCCGCACCGACGGATGTCCTCCTCGGTGATCGTCTCTGGTTTCAGTATCGTAATAAGTTTGTCCCGCGAGATCAATTCCATTTTTGGGATATGGATCAAATGTGATGGAACCAGAAAAACACGTCGTTTGAACTCGGCTATAACATCAGGAATGCCTTTGTGATCATGCCGTTCAACAGGAGAAATGCCTTTTTCATGATCGTGCTGATATGGAGATCAGCTTGCATATGCATATGAGCACATATTCAGCAAACGTACCGCCACAACTTGCGCGGTCCGCGGCATTCCCGTTCTTAGCGCTTCGCGTACAAAGGCTAGTGTCTGATCTGCGGAAGGGCGGTCTGTTGGCGCAAAAGAGAAGCATTTTCGGAGGAAGGATGAATCTTGGACCTGATTCTTAATTACTGGTGGTAGTGGTGGTACCTTCTTTGCAAGTAATTGGAGGGGAATGTGGTTAGATCGAATTGACCACCAGGGCAACTGCCCAGAGAGCACCTGAGATGGTGGTTAGATACAAAGCGTAGGTTTGAATGTCAATGGATGAGTTGATGTACATGAATCATGTTGCAACCAAAAGACCACACATCGCTTTTGGAAGTGGGAAAGGTCTCTTCATCATCGACTAACTCGGGCGCTATCCAGCGAATAGTGGCCGAACGGATGTCGCCCGAACCAAACTCTGGGCTGGACGCGAATTCGTTAAGCCTCTTGGAAAGCCCGACGCCCGTTACAAAAGCACGCCCCTGCCAGTCAACCAAAATGTTGTCCTGACGCACCAGCACATCGGAGATAATTAGTACTCATCTGCCTTACTGATTTTGGTAAGAACTCACACCTGTTAGATCTCCGTGAACCACAGCGATATAATGCACTGATAAAAAAATCCATTTGAGAGTCTACACTTTTGTAGATGAGCAGACATACAATATTGCAGTGCCAAGGCGATATCTCGCAGCTGAACATACGGAAATTCGTTTGTACATGAATCCCATCATAATCAGAAGAACCCACCAAGCGAAAACGTTCGCCACGCTCTAAGGTCTCGTGTTCGCGCAAGAAGTTGGTTAAGCTCCCATTCTCCATCCAAGGAAACACAAGGCTAGGTAAATGACCATGCCCGTATACGTATCCGAGCACAGGCAAAATATGTTCGTTTTGAAGTCTTCCCCATACTCTAATTTCTTGTAGTAATTCGTCGTATCTCTCATTGAGATCCAAGACATTATTAGGTTGTAGTACCCTAATAACCTTGACTGCCACCGTGACCTGAAGATGTGAGAATTATCAGTTCATGTTGATCGTTGGACTAGCACATACCGGAGAATAACTCGGTCGGTCCCAGGTGCACTTGCAGATATGATAATGACTATTTGTAGACTCAGGATGTTCACCCTTGACTATGTGATCAGTAAGGTCAGGAATGCAACTGAAACGTAGGGATTCGGTGATTGGCTCCATCATAAGGCGGAGAAATCGCGCACGTAGGAATTTCGAACACTTTTGACATAGATTCAGACGAGAACTCAGGCTCCGATACGATATACAGGTCATAGGCGCCTGGCGTGGGCGACGTGAGTGCCCCCAACTTCGAGCGTTCCTATTAATATTCACTGGCACCACTGACTCCGCGGCAGTTTCCGTCTGTTCAAGCAATTAATTTCGAAATCTGCTGTCATGTCTTCTCTTATTTGTCCCACATGTACAATATGTCTCCGCGCTGAGGAGCATATAAATAGGATCGACTCCTACGTCATTCAACGACATCCCTCCCGTTCTGCGCCACAAAGAGGATGCATTATGCTTGACCATACATTCACTCACCGAATACTGAGGTTGCGCGAATTGAATACTATTCGTGATCGAGAGGTACGCGTAGTTATATTGACGAATCACCAATCATTGCTTCAATATTAAATCTGACGTTTCGCCCCTCACAAGTACTGCGCCTTTGTCTTCATATCATCGACCGGGGTCGGATTTCAGAAATTTCAGGTCCCGCACAAGCTTGCCATCATGCACGCCCAGAATCTGGACCATCAATATATAATTGTCAACTAGACGAGCTCCGAGTCTTCCTTCTGTTCTTCCTGCCGTTTCTCCCGCTCTTCCTTCCATTCTTCCGACTCCTCCCGTTCTTTCACTTCTTCATCCGTTCATCCCGTTCCCCTTCTCGCTCGTCCTGCTCGTCCGGCAACCTAGACTCCCAACTCATCCGATCATCAGAAATAAATGACTTCGTGTCGTCCTCATCAGAGTCTTCAACAACCGATCACCCTCAGTTGCATCTTCAGCAAGAAACATTAACGAAGGATGAGCCTAGTGCTCTAGTTAGGCCAAACTTACGGACACGTTTTCTTACTCAAGTATGACTCTAGAGGCTACGTCCAGTGACGCGACGCACCTGGGTGAAAAGCATCGGTCCAGAAGAAACCTCATTTCTTCAGCGTGAATGAGATCATTGCTGACTTCAAACATCAATGATAGTGCTTGGAGAGATTTCAGTACATCGGTGAGTCATGTGTCTGCATTTGACGCTTGCTATTTACACCATTTTACCTTCTCCACCTATCCTAGTGATGCAATGGCCGTTGCTGTTACAGACATGTGTCACAGAACATGGACCCTCCGATCTTCACTTTGACGATGATCAAATCTCGAATAGAAACATTATCCAGTACTCTCCCTTTGGACAAACGTCGCTTCGAGGCGTGGAGCGCAAGAGCGTCATGTTGCTCGTTCAGGTCTCGTTCAGGTCTTTCGTGAAGGTGGTCCTTTTACGGTAGGATCAAACGAGACTGGCTAGTATGTCGCACCTCGTGATGATGAGCTGTCGTCCAGGAGCAGTGAGGTGGACAGCTCCTGAAATTCTTTCTGGGAAAGAATCACTGGCAGCCTTTGCAATCTCCACTCAGAGCGACACCTACTCCTTCGGTAGCGTCATACTTCCAAGTAAGCCATTCTCGCTTACTATTGCAATATTGCAACTTACTGACTCGTCCCAGGTTTTGACGGGAAAGATTCCTGCCCGTGAAGTCGCAATCTTGCGTAAAGCGATCTTTGATCAGATGACGATTGTGTCACCGATCGATTGACATGTTGTCTTATCGTTCCCATCGATCAAAGAAGCCCTTGATTTTTGATAGCAAACTGAGCTTGCTGCGGTTGAATAGTGGTATAGTTACAATTATTTCTGCGCTCAACAACCATCATGCTCCATACTCTTCCAGCTCCAGTTCTCCTTCTCCCACACGCATGTGTAGCACACTTGCTGAGAGCGCCACTCCAAGACCACATCGGAGTTTCGATTGTGGTGCCATCTGTGGATAACTCTTCACGGCAAGATGCTTTGATCCCGAGTGCACGTCTCGCTGATTACTCAATTCATAAGCCACAGTTTGAACTTTTTTTGCCACTCGGAGCTTGTCAAGCTTTCTTACTGGCTGCCCATTCAATACGTCGGGAAGAGGACTAGTAGAAGATGTGTGGACTGTTCTCCAGCGGATTGAATACTAGGTCTATCAGATTTGCCCCCCTTCATGACTTTTCATTAGCAATTCACCATGAAAAGCAGTAGTTTGGTCCTGCATGATACTACTGGGACTTCATAATGTCTTCAACGTGGCTTGTTAATGCCCTATCTACATGCGATGGACAAGGGCAGGTGGAATTAGTATCCACTATGACTGTACTTCAGCCCGTCCTTCCACGAATGCAACGATGTCTTTGGTCGTCGGCCGTCTGTTCATGTCTCCCAACCAACACATCTGGATGAAATCCCAATCAGCGTCGCTTATAACAGATGTGGGCGGCCTTCTGGGGTGGATTCCTCGTGCTATGTAATTGATAATAGCTGCCTGTGTTCTGATGTAATAGTATGGGACATTGCCCTCCACGACCTGCAGGGAGATGAGCTAACTCAGTATTGACAATCCGACCCACGCACTTGGAGCATTATCCCTCCGAAAGAGTACACATCGCTTGCTGGGGAAAGTACCGATGTTTGGTCGCCTTCGTCATCAACCGTCAAGCATTCGGGAGCCATGTAGCATACAGTGCCTCCAGGATTGGTAGGCAATAATGCTTGACTTATTCTGTCAGGTAGGCTGGCAAAGAGACTAAAATCGGTGAGAAGTGCTTTGCCATTTGTGTCCACGAGAACATTATTCTGTGAAACTTCAGTTTAGCGTTCATAAATGACAAAAATGCATACGCACGCCGGTCAAGTCTCCGTGGACAATTGACTCCGAATGGACTGCCGATCTAGTGTCAGCTGACTCTCACATCAGCGATACAGCATTGAGCATACGATATTGAAGCCCACGAGCTACATCGCTGAGCTAAAGCGCTTTCAGCACTGGAGGTTAGTGAGATGAAAAAGTGACCGAACCATTGCAAATTTTTGGCTGTAAGATAGCATCTCGTGCTTGCGTTGAAGGTATCCCGTCAGAGCGCCGTTTCCTAACCATGGCAAGACAAGCGCTGGGACCGAGCCAAAGCCATCTGTAACTCCCAAGAGAGGAACAATATTCTCGTGTTTAAGTCGCATCCAGATCTTAATCGTTCGGAACCATTGCTGACAAATCAAAGGTCAGATTGAGCGGAAACGGCTACCGAAGTTGATATTCACCGATTTGGCCCAATCATTTCTCAGCACCATCTCCTTGACTGCGACCTACACAAACTATCGTGAGCGACATAACAGAACATGACTTGCAAGGTACCTACATAGACTAGATTCGACATAGAAGGATGGATAATGCACCTGTGAACATATGTAAATCCTCCAAATCCTCCAAAGGCCTGGTAGTTTTTGTTGGGCCGTTGGACCGAGCTCGTCAAATCAGGAACACTGCAAACAATGAGTTCAACAGTGGCGTAGACAGGAAGATGACTCGCCCAACATGCTGGACTAAGACTGAGTAGAGAACCTTCTCGATGGAAGGACGGGATTCAATCGACATTGAAAGACAGCGTCGCACCAAATCCAGGTGCACCTGATCAATCTTTGAGTCGAAGTGAGTTGAGACCGCATAAGAGAACCTGTGCAAGGATCATACCTCCACGGGCGGAAGAAAAGGTTCTGTGCCCTTCACCTTTTCCAAAAGAACTTCACTCTCTTCAGGAATCCACCAATAAGGTACCTTTCCCGTCAACACCTGCAAAGATGCGTCAGACACAGCTCAGGAAAGGCTGATACGTTGCCAAACACACAAGAATCATGATGCAGCCATAAGAGTATACGTCTTGGGATTTGGTCGGTTGCGGCGGTCCTGTCTGCTTGTCACGGACAACCGACTCTGGTGAGACGTATCTCGCAGCTCCAGGGAGTTGCTCGCTCAAATCCCGATCTCCAGCGTCGTCAAGGATCACGGAGCGACTGAAGTCTGCGATGCGTATACGCCCCGCATCATCGAGAAGCACGTTATCCTAGGAAGAATGAGATGTGTGTTTTATATTTAGTAAGCATGCCAGCAGAAGCGTACACCCGTCAGATTGCAATGCACAATATCGTTCTCGTGCACTAAGGATTCTTCATCAATTTAACGCATAAGCAGTTATGGGCATCACTGACGATATCTGATCCCGTCCGCCACCTGATACAGCTGACATTCGATGTCAGAGCTGAATGACTTGTGGACGTCACGGGACATCAACTCACAATACCGAACTTCTGAAGTGGGTACAATGTGGAGAAATCTCGTTTCAAATAGTCGTGTAATGATCCATGCACCATCCATGGATACACGAAGGAGGGAAGAATTCCGAAACCCGTCGTCATTCCATAGAGATTAAGGATGGTCTCGTGCTTCAACCTTTCCCGAACGTAGACCTCGCGACGAATCATCTGCGAAGCAATGCGTCGGTCACACTTGATCTTCACAGCAAAGTTGAACTGCGTGTTAGCTCACATCGCATGTCTTATCAATATCAATGTCATTTAGATCACCAACGTCCAAAGTCTTCACCGCAACCTGTTGAAACGATGGATTACATGGAATTCCGTTGAAATACCAATCAACTAACCACAGTGGCGTCCGACCCATGCAACCAGTTGTATTTCAAAGTCCCACTAATGCTGCCCCGATCGTCGCTGGCACAGATCGAGAGGGCGGCTTTGGGGATTTGATTCACTCCAAGTTTCGACAACAAGTCCATCATCGTCTTTGAAATATTTGACCTCGACTTGAATAACTCCGCAATGTCCGAAGCCGACGGGCGCTCGCTGCTGTTAGATAAGCATTTTTGTGCCCATTTTTTGAGGTCTTCCTCAAAACCAGTGATTTTACTGAAGGGTTCTCGACCCTTGAACCTTGCGGCGATGATCTTAGCATTCGGTATACTATGATACGGTTTGTCCCCAGAAAACAGCTACATGATATGAGCAACGAATATGGCATCGGATGAAAACACGACACACCATAATCATAATACAACCATATGAGTACACTTCGGCAGTTTTGGTTGGCTGATCCTCTCCCTTAATATGAAGCCTTTCGGGTGCCATCCATCGGTGTCTCTCTTGGCATTCAGATTGAAATGTAGTGGCCCCTGAATCTGCAATGACCATCCAGGTGCTAAAGCCCCGAAGACAAGGCTTTCCGTCACCGTCAATCAGGATGTCGGCCTAAAATATAGAATCGTCATTCCTCCGCGAAGTACTATGTCGGCGAAATCAACCCACTGGGGTTAGGTCACTGTAAATATCCTTGCTGTGCACTACAGGCGATCAATCGACCGAAGTGCAAAAGCCACGTCCCACTCACAGTATTGAAGACCAGCTGCTATCTCTCTTAGCTGACATGTCAAGTCAAAGTTCATCCTGTCTCTATAGGTATAGCAAGCCTACCATGAATAATTTCTTGTCAAGGTCGAGTTGCCGTACATTCAAGTAGTCGTCGAGTGACCCATTTTCCATCCACGGAGAAACTAACGCAGGAAGTAGGCCAAATCCATCGCTGATAACACCCTCGAGACGGAGAATGTTGTCGTGACACAATTCAATCCAGGTGGAAGCTCGGTGAAAAATGGTCTGGGAAGAGTAAAACTATAAGCGAATGGAGCATTGCTTTATGTATGCCCGAACCGTTTTCGCCTTTTCTACTTCATTTGCACTCGGAGTCGGATTACGGAAGGTGATGGATTTGACCGCGACCTTGATAAATATTAATGGAACTCATCGACCGCCGCCGTTTGTTCGTCACCAACTTACACATGAATTCTCAGATTGTTCAGGCGATGTCATAAAACACCTCCAGATGTCACTACGCCCTGTTTTAATTGTAGTATCCTTTCGAATGACTTCCATGGAAATTTCAATATATAATTTTGTTTCCACTGTGTAGGAAACACGTTGGTGGTCGACCGGGACCTTTCAAGGGTACAAGTTGATCAATCATTATACAAACTTCAACATCGACTCACGACGAAGGATCGAGAGTTGCACATTGTGAAGATTCCTTAGTGCGGTATTCAAAATATGATGAAGTCAGGGCAAGGCAGTGAGTACTAGTGGGCGTCTTAGTGGTTCCATGCAGCATGATATCTTTATATGTGTAGCAAATGCCTGTGTCGACAGACCTCGTTCAAGCGTCTTCGGATCCGGGAGATAAGTATCAATTGGCTAGTGTGTGAGCCGTGTTCCCTGACTGGCAACCCTGGCCCATTTATGTCGGGCTATACATAGCACTTTTACGCTAACAGTACCCTCGGATCTTTCAGCCCGTCTTCTTTAGCTCTGGACCCCAAGGATGCGTCAGCGTATAAGTTGAAAACATTATTATAATTTTTGCCTTGCGGATCGTCGCTCAACAGCCTAGACCTCCTTTTCGAACACTACTCGCATCTACTCGCATAACTTCTTTGCCATGGCTTCCTGCCAGCAGCGACTGGCGATGGGCCTCCCGTCGCTCTCCGCATACAAGCGTTATCCCCAACAACCTCCTGCAACCTTGGTGCCGCTATCAACGCAACCTCATTGTCACATGCACTCTAGGGCGACCTCCCATATCTCCGACCGCCCCATGCTCCAAAGACAACCTCTTGCAACTTCCCACCATACCTTCACTAACTTGGTGCCACCGCTATGACCTCTCGCAGTCTCCTGCTGCTCACTTCGACCTCCTGCATCTTCTTGTCGCAGCCGCTTGCTCCCTCCGACGATCTCGTCACGGATGCCTGCAATCTCATCAGTACGGCGCGAAGTCAGCACCCTAATTATGCCCACCTTCCATTTCTTTCCTTTCATGCTACCTATACTTACACCTTTCAATGTTTGGTCTACCTCATACATGTTGAGTGATTGGCTCAGTCAACACGCTACCTGAACAACACTCGAGCATTCTTTACAAAGGCTTAGAGTTGTACTAAGACATCACATGTCTGGACACATATTGGTACAAAAGACATGTACTAGAACGATGACTATTCACCAGAACAAGAGATTCTGTCAAGCAAAACAGAAACTTTTAACTAAGACAAGTACTAGTGCGAGAAAATACAGGTGATTAATGGTGATACAAGTATGGGGAAGGAACGAGTACTAGCAGGTGCCTGGTAATGTCGTCACCTATAAAGTTAAGCGAACGTCTGCTAGGGAGCCCTGGGGTCTTGAACCAAGTGAATGTCGTCACAGAGGGTGTTCGGATCTTTAACGCAGCCCGAGATAGATAACAGGGTACTATGAAGAAAGATCTTTTGATCCGAATTCCGAAGATGGGGACTTCAACCTAATTGGCAATTGGCCTCGTGGTAGCGATTGGGCATATAAGGGATGCAAGTGCCTTACCTCAGAGCATTCATCATTTTGAAGCTACGCTAAGGATTACGATGAGCAGCTTTCAATCCTCCGTTGTAAGTGATGTGGATTTTCATTATGCACGATGATCGATAAGCTGGGCAGACAACAAATGACATTAATACTCACCTAGTCGACTTCAAGATCACACCAAATATTATTCCCGCCGCAGCCATTCAAAAGCACAACAGATTTCCTTTCCATAGAGGGGGGATGAGTGATATCTTCAAATGTACTATGTCTACACAATCGGAGGTCAGCTATACGGTAAGCTGACAAAACAGTTGAAGAGTTTTATTATCTTCATTATCTAAATCACAATCAAGGTCGCGATAAAATCCATCAGGATCCCTCCTGGTTGTGATTCAACATTAATACACAAGTTGGGCCGGGTTGGTGCATAAAGTAGTTCACCATTCTACTCCACTGATAGGTTGAACCGTTTGCAGAGCATTCGTCGCGAGGCTTATGTTTGGATTGCAATTGTCTCACGACAACATTCTCGCTCTTGTGGGTGTTACCGAAGAATTTGGTCCACTTCCCGCACTAGTTACACTATGGATGGATAATGGATCTCTCGGCGACTATCTGAAACAGAAAATCGATCTTTCAATAGACAAGAAATTGAGCATGGTATGCATTTTATATTTGTGGAGACAGGTTGCACTTTAACTCGACATATCAGTTAACGGAGGTAGCGGTTGGCCTTGAGTATCGTTAGTAGCACTCTGCTCTGCTCTTGTATTTCAGTCCACTGATCTCCTGTAGTGCATGGCATGGGCATTGTCCATGGTGACTTAACTCCTGTATGTTTCGATCGCCACCATTCTCCATTCGAAATGACAGTTTCATAATTTAGTACAACATCCTGGTCAGCAGTGACGAGAGGGTCCGTATCGGAGACTTTGGTCTCTCGACGATTCTTGCAGAATTAGATTTCCAAACATTTGGGTCGAATCACGCGGGCAATGTTCGATGGATAGCCCCCGAAATGTTGGATGTGCTAGAGGATGGGGCTGCGAAACCAACCGTGGCTGCCGATGTTTATTCATATGGTTGTATCATGATGTTGGTATGTTATGTCTCCGTGCAAATCCATATACATAGCTGATATTATGCAGCTGTGTTCTGGACTTGAGCCTTATCACCGATTGAAGATATCATTTCACATTATCGCAGCAAGGGTGAGGGGTCGAGAACCCTTTAGCGAAATCACTGGTTTTGAGGGAGACCTCAAACAATTGGCACAGAAGTGCTTATCGGGGAGCAGCGAGCACCGCCCGTCGGCTTCGGACATCGCGAAGTTGTTCAAGTCGAGGTTAAATATTTCAAAGACGATGATGGACTTGTTGTCGAAACTTGGAGTGAATCAAATCCCCAAAGCCGCCCTCTCGACCTGTGCAAGCGATGATCGGGGCAGCATTAGTGGGACTTTGAAATACAACTGGTTGCATGGGTCGGACGCCACCGTGGTTAGTTGATTGGTATTTCAACGGAACTCCGTGTAATCCATCATTTCAACAGGTTGCGGTGAAGACTTTGGATGTTGGCGATCCGAATGTCATTAATATTAGCAAGACATGCGATGTGAGCTGACACACAGTTCAACTTTGCTGTGAAGATCAAGTGTGACCGACGCATTGCTTCGCAGATGATTCGTCGCGAGGTCTACGTTCGGGAAAGGTTGAAGCACGAGACCATCCTTGGCCTCTACGGAATGACGACGGGTTTCGGAATTCTTCCCTCCTTCGTGCATCCATGGATGGCGCATGGATCATTACACGACTATCTGAAACGAGATTTCTCCACATTGTCTCCACCTCAGAAGTTCGATATTGTGAGTTGATGTCCCGTGACGTCCACAAGTCATTCAGCTCTGACATCGAATGTCAGCTGTATCAGGTGGCGAACGGGATCAAATATCGTCAGTGATGCCCATAACTGCTCATGCGTCGAATTGATGAAGAATCCTTAGTGCACAAGAGCAATATTGCGCATGGCAATCTGACCGGTGTACGCTCCCATCGCGATGCTGACTAAATATAAAACACACCGATCTCATTCTTCTTAGGACAACGTGCTTCTCGATGATGCGGGGCGTATACGCATCGCAGACTTCAGTCGCTCCGTAATCCTTGACGACGCTGGAGATTGGAAATCGAGCGAGCAACTCCCTGGAGCTGCGAGATACGTCTCACCAGAGTCGGTTGTCCGTGACAAGCAGACAGGACCGCCGCAACCGACCAAATCCCATGACGTATACTCTTATGGCTGCATCACGATTCTTGTGTGTCTGGCAACGCATCAACCTTTCCTGAGCTGTGTCTGACGCATTTTTGCAGGTTTTGTCGGGAAAGGTACCTTATTGGTGGATTTCTGAAGAGAGTGAAGTTCTTTTGGAAAAGGTGAAGGGCACAGAACCTTTTCTTCCGCCCGTGGAGGTATGATCCTTGCACGGGTTCTCTTATGCGGTCTCAACTCACCTTTGACCAAAAGATTGATCAAGTGCACCTGGATTTGGTACGACGCTGCCTTACAATGTCGATCGAATCCCGTCCTTCCATCGAGAAGGTTCTTTACTCGGTATTAGTCCAGCGTTTCGGGTGAGTTATCTTGCTTTGTCTGCACTGCTGTTGAATCCATCGTTTGCAGTGCCGCTGATCTTACAAAGTCGGTCACGCGCCTCAACAATGACCCCCAGGCCCGTGGAGGATTTGCAAATGTTCACAATGCAGCCTTGGTCTAACAACCGTCGATGCGAGTGTCCGGCGAACAATTTCACACTACGGGTTACCCTCTACAACAACTTCAGTGAACGTAGGTGCGGTTGACATCGTGTTTTACTACGTTGCTCAAGTCAGCTTAGGTCGCAGTCAAGGACATACGAACGACGGATCATGCAGCAGACATGAAAGCCATCGACGTCGGTATCCAGGTGTTTTTCCTCCGTTCATCTGACTGTTGATTTTGCAGCGATTGTTCCAAGAGATCCGCTTATGGTTGAAACTTAAGCATGACAATATTGTTCCTCTCTGGGGGGTTACAGATGGCGCTGGCTCGGTCCCAGCGCTTGTCTCACCATGGTTAGAAAATGGCGCTCTGACAGGATTTCTTCAATGGAAGCACGAGACTCTTTCCTCCAGCGAAAAGATTGCACTGGTTCGGTCAATTCTGCTCCTGGCGATATTCACCATGCTGAGGTCAATTTAGCTCAGGGACGTGGCTCGTGGGCTTCAATATCGTATGCTTGATGCATCATCCTTGAAGTGGAAGTCAGCTGACACTGGATCGGGCAGTCCATTCGAAGTCAATTGTCCACGGAGACTTAAGTGGCGTGCGTGTGCATTTTTGTCGTTTATGAACACTGAACTGAAGCTTCATAGAATAATGTTCTCATAGACACAAATGGCAAAGCACTACTCACGGACTTTGGTCTCTCTGTCCTCCTTTCTGAGAGATCAGATCAAGTGTTATTGCCCAAACCCGGAGGGAGCGCACGCTGGATGGCGCCCGAATCTTTAGGGCTCGGTGATGAAGGCCATGGGTCACCAGTATTTTCTACAGCAAGCGATGTGTACTCTTTTGGAAGGATAATGCTCCAAGTGCGTGGGTTGGATCATCAATACTGAGTTAGCTCATCTCCCTGCAGGTCTTGGAGGGCAGGGTCCCATACCATTACATCGCAAGATATGAAGTTATTATTTCTCTCGTATTACTAGGGAACCACCCCAGGAGGCCGCCCGCATCTGTTATAAGTGACGCTGAATGGACTTTCATCCAGATGTGTTGGTTGGAAGACATGGTCAGACGGCCGAGGGCCGACGAAATCGTTGCATTTGTAGAAGGAAGAAAATTATAGTCAATCTTGGTCTATTTTTCTTCGTCCACTATAGATAGGAATCTCGAGGACGTCACGTCGATAGCCAATATGGGCGGCGTTATACCAGCGTTATCATGGTCATGCACCTATCATGCACCAAAACACAGATACTATAGGCATTGGGCTGAGGACACAACAAAAGCACCACCATGAATCAATTTTGTTGAATCTTGAGATACTATCAGCCGTCCATGACGTTCCGCTGTGCGTACTACATCGGTTTTCTCCAGATAAAATTGCCGATTGCGGGAAAGCTGTTGCTCATCCAGCTCGAGAGGCCTCAATCATTATTTCAAAATTTATAACCAAACAGTTTCTAGTTCTTTTTCGAAGTTACGTTTGCAACCAACCGTCAAAATGTTCTCTGTAACCTCCCTTTTCCAGTGGTTGCGCACGGTTTCCAGGCCAAGGAGACACAACCGTCTCAAGAGAAAACATACGTAGATCTGTCCCGCTTTCAACTTTCCTTTGTTAGCGTCGTCGTCATGGTCATGGTAGTTAACGATCCCGATCGCCCACTCTGTTGTAGATGCAGGTGGAAAGAAAGGAGATTGCACGACCAGCTTTTCGAGCGGTGAAGCGGGACGGGAAAGGAATTCCCAGTGCCAGAGACTCTGGTCAATGGAGGCAGGGACCATGAATAGCTTGACCTGCACGCCACGCTTTGTGACTGAGAAGTCGTCATCACCGCAACCCTCTCCCCACCACGAGATCTCGTGGTTCTTGAGCATCTCGAGTGCTGCTTTGTCTGTTGTGCGATAACAGGAAGGCGCTGTTGGACAACCAGGGAGCCCACCGGCCCACACAAGAATCTGCCATTCCTTGCACTTCTCAATAAGCTCTGCCATGAATCGTTTTGAACGCTCGATCTCCCTCTCCATATGCGACCGTCATGGTGATGTCGAAGATGCCGGTAAGAGAGTAGGCAACATCTTCAATACGGGTTGTCTTCCGACTCGCTGCCCAGCTCATCTTCTCCCAGGCACGATTTGGCCCGGGTTGAAAGTTGCGCAGGTCGTTCCCAGGGATCTTGGTAGTGCGGCGAAGAGCTTGAACAACCTTCGCGTCATCTTTGTCATTGGGATTCTGTGTAAGGGGCGTCCACGTAGGACCGTAATAAAACCTCATCCTAAGGGGTGCAAGAAGCTCCTGCAACGTCCAGCCACGCAAGAACCACTCGTCCTTTTCCAGCGTCTCCAATGAGTTGGTCTGAGCCAGGTGCACTATGCATATATAGGCCTCGCGGTACCATGTGAACATCGACCGAATTGCTTCGTCGAGCTCTGAGCTGCTTTCTTTGTTAATGCAGCAGGTATCAGACCATGCGAGACGACAGCCGTATTCCTTTGCTCTTACACAAAACTCCTTCAACTTCTTGTAACCCTCCCCTTCTGGCTTGAGGTTTTGGAATGTCGGTTCCGATTTTCCCCATCGATGTGATAGAATGGCGTATTTGAGCCGGTTGATTACAACCGACTCTATGGCAGACTGCCTCGACCATCCTCCACACTGACGGATGTCCTCCTCAGTGATCGTCTCTGGTGTTAGCATCTCAATGAGTTTGTCCCGTGAAACCAACATCATCGTTTCGACATCGATCAAATACGGAGGAACCAGATCAAAAACACGTCGTTTGAACTCGGCAACAACATCAGGAATGCCCGTGCCGCGAGCATGCTGATCAACAGGAGAAATGCCTGTGTCATGATCATCCTGATATGGAGATCAGCTTGCGTATGAGTACATTTTCAGCAGACCTACCGCCACAGCTCCCGCAGTCCGCGGTATTTCCGCCCTTAGTGTTTCGCGTACAAAGGTTAGCGTCTGATCTGCGGAAGGGCGGTCTTCTGGCGAAAAAGAAAAGCATTTTCGGAGGAAGGATGAATCCTGGGCCTGATCCTGAATTACTTGTGGTAGCGGTGGTACCTCTCTTGCAAGTAAATGGGAGGCAACTTTTTCGGATCGAAATTTTGACGACGACCAGGGTAACTGCCCAGAGAGCACCTGAGATGGTCGTTAGATACATAATGTAGGCTTGAATGTGTCGATGATGTACATGAATCATATTGCAACCAAAAGACCACACATCGCTTTTGGAAGTGGGAAAGGTCTCTTCATCATCATCAACCAACTCGGGAGCCATCCAGCGAATAGCGGCCGAACGGGTGTCGCCCATACCAGACCCTGGGTTGGACGCGAACTCGTTAAGCCTCTTGGAGAGCCCGACGCCCGTTACAAAAGCACGCCCATGCGAGTCAACCAAAATGTTGTCCTAAACGTACCAGTACATGGCAGATAATCAATGCTCGTCTCCCATATTGATTTTGGTAAGAACTCACACCTGTTAGATCTCCGTGAACCACAGCGATAACATGCACTGACAAAAAATCCATTTGAGAGTCCACACTTTCGTAGACGAGCAGACATACGATATTGTAGTGCCAAGGCGATATCTTGCAGCTGAACATACGGGAATTCGTTTGTACATGAATCCCATTATGACCAGAAGAACTCACCAAGCGAAAGCGCTCACCACGCTCTAAGGTCTCATATTTGTCCAAGAAATTGGTTAAGCTCCCATTCTCCATCCAAGGAAACACAAGGCTAGGTAAATGACCATGCCAGTAAACGTGTCCGAGCACAGGTAAAATATGTTCGTTCTGAAGTCTTCCCCATACTCTGATTTCTTCTACTAATTCGTCGGTGAGATCCGAGGCATTCTCAGGTTGTACTACCCTAATAACCTTGACTGCCACCGTGACCTGGACATGTGAGAATTATCAGTTTATACCGATTGTTTGACTAGCACATACTGGAGAATAATTTGGCCGGTCCCAGGTGCACTTGCAAATATGATACTTGTGACTATTTGTAGCCTCGGGATTTTCGCCCTTGACTATGTGATCAGTAAGATCAGGAATGCAACTGAAACGTAGGGATTCGGTGATTGGCTCCATCACAAGGCGGAGAAATCGCGCACGCAGGAATTTCGAACGTTTTTGACATAGATTCAGGCGAGAAATTTGACGCTATAGTTTGAAAGTGCGGGAGTCAGCCTGAGTCAACTCTAAGCTTGCCAACAGTTACTGACGCGGCAGTCTCCGTCCAATTATTTCGGTTGGCGTGCGCTGTTTCCGCTGAAGAGCACAGAAATATCGTAGGATTGACTCCGTGACATCAATCAACGACATCCCTTCCTTAATGATGTTGCGCCGCAAGGAGGACAACACAAAACAAGATTACGCGAATAGAACATGATCGAAAGGTATTTATATCAAATTTCAAATTTAAATTTCAGGTACCCTGCCATCACCTTGCACGCAACTGCGCATCCAGAATCTGGACTATCAATATATAATTGTCAGCTAGACGAGCTCTTCATTCTGCTCTTCCAGTTATCTGTCTTGCGTTTCTCCCGCTAGCTTCCAACTCTCCCCCTTCTTTCAGCTCTTCCTCCCATTCTTCCAGATCCTGTTCTCCCTCGTCCTGCTCGTCCGGCAACTCAGACTCTTCTGATTCATATGATCATCAGAAATAGACGACTTTGTGTCCTCATCAGAGTCTTCAATAGCTGCATCCTCAGCACCCCCAACCACATATTCAGCAGAAACACGAAGGACGAGGCTAGTACTCTAATCAGGCTAAACCTACGGACACGTTTTCTTGCTCAAGTAGGACTCTAGAGGCTACGTCCAGCGACGCGACGCACCTGGGAGGGAAGCGTCGTATAGAATCATTCGGCTTTTCTGTGCACGCCGTTTTCAGCGGTTTGCATTGTTTGCATTTACCATTACCTCAAGAATTATAGTCGATTCTGCATCTTGCGTTAATGTGCTAAATGTGTGGTACGACTCCGTGATACAAGTCCAGGAACAGCAACCATCACGAGACGCTGAGACTTGCATGTCCCCTTCAACCTTGGGAGGCCACATTCGCTGAAATCTGATCCTGACACTGTCTAAGCTTCTTTAACACAGACTCTCCTGCTAACATTATGTAGCCGGCCATCTTCCTCAGCGCTTGGTGCAATCATACCAGCGTCTACCACGCCGAACAACCCTCAATAATATGGAAATATAACCTGAATACGCAACCTCTCCTCTCCCTCTCAGCCGAGCTCTATCCACAGTCCCCATATCCCCACCCCTGTCTTCCCGTCTCACCTGTTCTGCCCACTACTCAACACACCCGTCATTTTGCTTCTTCGTACTATCACGTCTAGTAGCCCAGACAGCCGATATATTAGACTTGAAGGTGGGTCAATTATATTACCTTCATATCCGTTTCACGTTCTATTTATAGACATCAGTGGAAAGAATCTTCGAGTCCCTTCCGTGCGCATTCCCGCTGGAATTTATGTGTCCAACAACATCGACTCAAGGAGACGCTGGAAATCAGCCATCAAAGTTCTATTCCATGAGATCTGTAGTGTGGTGTGATACCGTGACCCTAAAACGTCGGAAACTTTCTGACGCGACTCGAGAACTGATCCTCGATTTCTAGATCATCATATACGTCACCCTGCATTCTCAGTAGAGGGCGTCCTATGAGGCCGATCGAATGCTAGGCAGCGGAGAAGTCATCAGGAAATTTTAAATGTCGTGGGATGAGCTACTCGGTCATTGAGATGGGCCATTCAGTGAGTGACCTACTTTTCATCTACTGGCATCTCGTAGATCGACCCTTCCTACCCGTGCGTGGTATCCACCCTTCCCTCACGCTGAAGATTGCTATTGTACCTGCTTGTGATAATGTGGGTGACGCTGGTCTCTGCTGTTAGTTTTTGCTGATCGAACGCCAACTGTAGTTTCCGGTCAACCATCCTGAAGCAACAGCTCTCACCAACCTCGCGTGGGCCCGCCTTATATTGACCATGCTGTCTACCTGAACAACTTGGCCTTCCTACTCGTGTTCCGCTTTAATCACCGATAAAACCTAACGAGACCATCTCTTTGCATGAAGAAGCGCTGCGCCTGCGCCCTATTGAGCACGAATCTCGTTATGCCTCATTGGACAACCTAGGGGGCGCTTTCGTTACCCGTTTCAACTATGGCAGTGACATCGATGACATCACCCGAGCTATTAGCCACAGCCAGCGGGTATGCGCGGGCAGTGTCGAGGTCGCGGAGGTTGTCGAGAAGGTCGAGGACGAGAAAAATGACGACGAAGTCCCTGATATCCAGTGCGTGAAATATATCAGAAAACATATATGACTCACCTACTCACCTTAGGGACTGTCAGTTTCAGCATACACACCTATTTAAGAATCCAACCAGATTCGCGTTGAGAATTCGTTCTCGTTGCCAGCCTGCGGGGGTGTTCAAAGCGGATGGCGATTTTCACGTGATTTTCGAATTTTGAATCGCCTCTTCATAATCATTCACTCTGACTACCACTCATAATTTAAGGAGGATGGTATACTCCGGAAAGTTGCTTGTATCAAACCAAAATGTCGTCTTCCTTATCAAGATACGACTTTCGACGTTACTCTCGTACGTACTCATTCTTTTCTTTTACATACGCAATCACCCCTCGTTATACGCATCATACACGTCCACCTTTGATTCTCCGTCTGAATCAGCGTATTAATACCTCTCCCCGTCGAATATTCTCCCTCAGTCTTTTGATCCAAGAATGAGGTGAGCTTTCTTATTCACACTTCTACGAACATTTCCTGACTATTACCCTACTTGGTCCCGTTCTCGTTCCTAGGTATGGTCCTTAGCTAATTTAGTCTTTTGATCCAAGACTGAGTCCCATTCTCGTTCCTGGTCCGAGCCTCTTCATTCGTGAGATTCCTGGCCGGAAATATATTGGGGGGAAAAGGATGGGCCGCGTCACAGGCCCCGCGACAGGCGCGGCACGACCGCCCACGCTTATCTCTTCCTATCGGTTACACGAGCGCCCCTCTCACTGCAACGGCCATCCTACGCATGCAGCAGGGATGGACGCACAATCACTCTCCCAGTTTAGTCTCCCTGTGCACCCATATTATCTTTCCAGTAAGGCCAACTTCGGTGCACAGCGCCATCATAATTCTCCCCGTTCATCGGCGCAACATCGCCGACATCCATACAGTGTACCTGGGAGGGAATCATCTATCCAAAAGTTTCGTGGACTCCCTGAAAAACCAAGTTTTGGAACGAACACTGGAGTTGGCGGGCCCTTGATGGCAGATCAGCCAAGATTCACATATCAACCATCCCTACTTACCGCTCCCAATGTCACTCCCTCCACTCAACTAGTTCCCACAATCCTCATCCCAGATTTAACTGGGCTCATCACCCGATGCAGCCAAGATCCCGTTTGCGGCGGCACATACGGAAACATCTACAAATGTATATACCATGGACCGGATGGCGATGTAGAGGTTCGTGCGGATTTCACATTTCTTCCACATTTAGTGATGCATCTGTCACCCACAGGTTGCTGTCAAGGCAATTCGGTCGCAATTCATCAGTGATCAGGTAATATTTTATATGTAGCAGGGAATAGACAGATCTAATCGAGCTTCCTTAGGTGTTTCGGAGAGAGCTCGGAATTTGGAAGAGGCTGCGACATTCTAATATTTTGAAGTTCATGGGTACAACTTCGGACTTTGGCACTTCAGTAGCTTTGGTTGCTCCATGGATCGCCAACGGCACTCTAACATCGTTTCTCAAGCAGAACAGTGACACTCTTGCGGTGCTTGATCGTATGTGTCTGGTGAGAACTTCAAATACGTCCATAGTTCGTTCGGGCCCAAGCTGATGTTTTGTGCACAAGCTCCGTGACATTGCCGCTGGTCTCAACCATCGTGAGTGAAAACGTGCATGTATAAAGGAAAACGCATGATTTTCTCCCCCAGTTCATACGTTTAGTTTGACTGAAGACAAACACCCGGAATTCAATCCAGCCGTCCACGGAGATCTCACTGGCGTAAGACACTTCATTTATTCGATCCTTCGTAGTATTAATGATGATCGACTGCAAGACCAATGTCCTCGTCGATGGCGATAGAAGGGCATATCTTGCAGATTTTTGGTCTTTCCGGAACTTTGACACAACAAACTGGCATGACGTACCTCGCGAAGTCGAGCTGCCATCCAGGAGCAGTGAGGTGGACAGCTCCTGAGCTTCTTTCTGGGGAAGAACCAGCCTCTGCGGTCACCACTCAGAGTGACATTTACTCATTTGGTAACATTTTTCTCCAAGTAAGCCGTTACCTTTTGCAAATATGGTATACTAACTCGTCCTGGAGGTTCTGACGGGAAATGTACCTTGGCCTCACTTAAATCGTGAAGCCGCAATCTTGCGCAAAGTGATCTTTGAGCAGGAACTGCATCCTCGTCCAGATGATGATCGTGTCGCCGACCAGTTCTGGAATTTTATGACCCGTTGCTGGTCTATAGTACCCACCGATCGACCTTCTGCCGCAGAAGCACTCAGTTTGTTGATCACGAACTAAACTTGCTGCGGTTTGATGGCGGTCTAGTCACAGATACCTCTACTTGCAACGACCGTCGTCTGTCTCCATGCTCTTCCTACCTTGATTCTCCTTCTCTGCCCTCCGCCCGCTCCGGGGCTCCTTCTCCTTCTCCATCTCATTCCTACCCAAATGCCCACACGGAATACTTTCCGGAAGCCTCACCGCAAGATCGCTCCGCAGATTCTAATCTATGGCCATTTAGAATTGATGCCTTGTCGCGGGATACTTTGGTCCCTGGTACACATCACGCTGATATACTAGAAGTTTGGCTGACTACTCTCATCGCAGGCTTCCCGTGACGAACTCAAACTACTCATACGATCTTTCTGCATACTCAATCAGCTGACATGTAACACTCTACGCGACATTTAACCATGACATGGACCTCTTCGACACTCCGAAGTGCTCATAGGTTGTGTATATTTTTAGTACTATGTTGGTACGCTGTCTTAACTTTAGCCTTTCCACCGAAACATGATATAAGAACCAAAATTCTGTGTCCCTGAGGACTTATCGTGTGTCATGATTATTCGACTTATCCTTATATCCCCCGACGATGTCATGGTTCTCTGAGTCTACATTCGAGATGGAGACAGGTATGTACATACCACACATCCAGCATCTATTTTGACTGTAGCGACTTACTCAACTGATGTTCTTCTTTCTGAAATCGATAAGGATGACGGTGGCTGAAAGAAGTGGGAAATTATTGACATCCTGTACGACAGTGAGTATTAATCAAATCTCCACTTCCTAATCCCTACTCCGGTCTTGGTAAGCGTTTGGACAAACCAATCGAAATATTCATGCAGTGCCGCAATGAGGGTCTTGATGGCCGAACATCATAGGGAGTTATAGGTATTGAGACTGGCAAATGGGGCAAACGGCATTATCCGAGAACTATACTATGCAAGGAGGGATGAAGTTAGTCACTACTTGTACCACTGTCGGATGACACTTGCCAGCGTTGCCGCTTGACGAAGAAGGAACGACTGTCTTCCGAAGTTCAAAGTCTGACTACGGGAGACTATTAGTATTAATATAGGCACTTGCACTGCCGTGAGTCAGGGAAATCGGTTTTGGACCTGCAAAAGAATATCATTCAGTGTTCTGGTCTAGTGTCTACAGTGACTCTACACGCAGCCTGAGAGTGCTCGAGAGGACTCTGAAAACACACTTTACAGGTTCGACTTGGAAATTCAAAGTTGGAATCTTCGCAATATAAACCGTGGAATAAAATGTTGGTATTATATTGACTCGGAGAGCTGTCCGTCTTCTGAGCTTCAAGTTCTCCTGCAAGCTCCGTTCTGGTTTGTTGTTTGGGGATACTCCCGCGGCGCGCGGCGGCGTCATATCATTCTGTAGAGTTCAACGAATCTAGGAACTGAGCGCTGAATATGCCATATCTATGGAGCATTTCATATATGTTAGGAGCAGGTGATCGATGTCCATGAGGCATGATACACGAAGTTTTTTTTTTCAAGTTTGCTTCAGTTCGTCGAAGCAGGATTTGAACTTCCCTCAATTGGCTCAAGTTATTTATGTAATAGCACATTGTTCACGAGTACGACTCGTACGTAATATCAACAGGGTTAAATGAATGTGACGAAATATGTAAGTAACGGTTCCGAATGTTCTTGTGGGGTTGATGTGGCCCCGGGCGTATGATTTTCTTGAAGGACTGTAGTTAATTTGTCATGGCATGGGTATACTCAGTGGTGGCGAACCCGACTCGGGAGTTCGTCGTATCATACACCGAGTAAAACCGCTCGCTGTGGAAGAATAATTCAGCAATTTATCTTCCCGGTAAAAAAAAGTAGCTCAACGTACAGGAAACAGTAGCCGTTCACAAAATCCAGGCCAAAACCAGAGGGGTGTCAGTGGAACTGATGACCAGGTATATGGCGTCGGTGGTCCCGCCAATGGCTGTGTTCAACGATCGAGGCCAAATTTGCCCATTGGGGGTGAGCTCATAAGTAACCCCACCAGTAGTGAAATACAAGGATGAGAGCTGGTTGTACTGGTCAGGTGAGATCTGTAAGAGACCAGTGCTCTCATCGAGGGTTGCCCCCGTAGCAGACTGATATTTGTCGAAGGCATCTGAACAGTGGATTAGAAGGGTTTCAATGTCGCACAGGACACTTACCAGTTGCAATGGAAATGAAGGTGGATCCGGTATCAACGACACCAGCTGTCTCGGCCAAAATGGACGTAGACCCATAGCTGATGGACTGATCAATGCCCCAATACATACTCGCTGGATATATTGATGTGATCGGCACATAGCTGATGTCTCCAGTAATCTTGGAGGCGTCATAACCGCCGAATGTGAGCTCACCGCCGCTATCGTCAGAGGAAGCAGGTGCAAAGAACACTCCGAGTACTACTTCCGAACTGATAATTTTCTGCGTATAGAGGTTGTCCATCACAGTTGCAACTTCATTTCCATTACTGACGATGCCAACCGTCAAATCGACCGGTCCGAGGCCAAGAACTCCATCCGTACCATCCAGATATGAGTGACTAGATGCGACGCCAATAGATTGATCACTGATGATCAGATCAGGGTTGAGCGTTACGGTGTCTGTGTATTCCTCTCCAGTAGCATAAATCCCATCGCCGTATGTAACAGACTGGAAACGGTTTGACAAAATGTATGTGCCACGTAGAAACAAATACCCAAAATTGATTGCCCGTGTCATGGCTCGTGGTAGTCTGTTTGTAAGTCTTGTTAGCCCCGATCCAGGTGAATGAGCTTCCGGTGTCTAGCACGAGTGTTCTGTATGAAATTGACAACGCGTCAGATTAAAAAATTGCAGGAGCACGAGCAGCTTACAGTACGTTGCTGGACTCCCTACGCCAATGTCAGCGGTGTACATCGCCACAGCATTGGTTGCATCGACGGAAGAGCTGCCGCCAGCTTGTAAGGCTTGGATTCGAGCTCGATCTGCAGCCGCGATGTTCTTGGTCCCATGCGAATTTATTCTAACAGCGAGCTTGAGAGCAGCTGTGCTTGATGCCGTCCGAGGATGAGGCAAAGCGCTCGCTGACAGCGAGAGGAAGGCAAGCGCCGGCAGGGCAAGAATAGATGAAAGCGATCTGGAGGGAACCATCTTACACTTCCTGAGCCATCCTTCCTAGCTGGCCGTTTTATATGGTGGTTGGTATCAAACGTTAATCTAACAACACTGCAGGAGGCGAACAATCTGAACAAGGCTTAGCGAAGTTCGAAGCGACTACGTTAGAGTGTCGGATCACGAGCTCCCTGATCATGATGTGACGGAACGTTCATCGCGTCTTCCTGCATTTTACGCAAGTTTTTTTGGGTTTCTTGTGTTTGACGTATCCGGTTGGACGTTTGTTGCCTGTGACTGCTCCTAGTAACTTTACGGCACATCATCGACGTGACATCATTACGCTATCATCGCCCG